ACACACACACACACACACACACACACACACACACACACACACACACACACACACACAGAAGAAGAAGAAGAAGAAGTAGAAGAAGAAGAAGAAGAAGAAGAAGAAGAAGAAGAAGAAGAAGAAGAAGAAGAAGAAGAGAAAGGGAGGAAGATATGGAGGGTGAGAACAGGAAGGAGAAGACGGTGTCAACCTCTCCACTGTCTCACCTGCAGGTAACTTTAACAAACCGGCGTGCCTCTCTGTGCTGCAGGTCGCTGGCGAAGGAACCAGCTATGGCGCCCAGGTAAGCTGCTCGCACCTCGCAGGTATGGCCACCGCCTCTCCGTCACCTCCCCTAGCCTCTACACCTCTACCTATACCTCTACGCACCGCAGCGCTGGAAATAGCGCACTGCTCCAACAGCATGTTACCCAAAGGAGTGAGGACTCCTGTCTGCCAGAACACCAGACTGGCCCAGCAATCTATAGTGCTGGGCCTGGCTGGTGTGCCCATCGTCTGCGACCAGGGCCGTGTGATCGTGAGTCCGATCGACGGCCCAGGTTGCAGGAAAAAGCCCTGCTCCTCTGGTCCTAGGCCCAAAACGGCCTGCCTGGGTCCCTACCGAACGTCCAGGCTCTCCTGGTGATGCAGCAGGAAAAGTCCACTACTGGATGACTCGGAACCTGGCCAAAAACAGCCCAGTCACGAACCTGGCCTCTCAGAGGCCCCAAACGTGGTCCTGGTCCGAACAGGCACTGGTCTGTTCGGACATACTGCAAAGTCCGAAACGATGCGCTGAAACAGACAAAAATAGAATAGACAAAAAAGTTCACCATAAAAAAATAAATAAATGCTGCCTCAAAACTGGTCCTGCGTGGCGCAGCCACCATGCCTGGCCTCCCTGAGATGGCCATGGGCCTCCAGGTCGTGCACAAAAATAGGTGCACGGCCTGGGGGCCTTCCACAACCATCGGGCCCCCGAAACGGGGCCTGTGTGGAGGGCTCAGTATGCAACAGTGTGTGTGTGTGTGTGTGTGTGTGTGTGTGTGTGTGTGTGTGTGTGTGTGTTTGTCAACATCCCCAAACTCTCTCTCTCTCATTTCACCCACATACCATCACAAGTCATCCATAAGCAAAAAATGTATAGATGAGCAATATAATAGAAGGTGCAAGGTTCCCCACAATTGTGTGGTTGAGCGGGAAGTGCCCACACGTCACACTTGCATAAATGAATATAGTTTTCGCAATCTATAGAAACAAAGGTAAGGGGCAGAGGGCAACATACCTAACACAGAAGGCTCCACCAGCAAGAAACCACCGACCAGATCCCGCAATAGGCCGGAAAAACTTGGAGAGCCCTCCGAGTCAGCCGGCAAGCACAGCAGCACTGGCACTTCTATTCCTCCCAAACGACACACTCACGTATCTCTATCATTCCATGGCTAGACAGTCCCCATCTGCTCTCTAGCCTCTGGAGTGTATAGAGTACCATAATCCCAAAGACCACAAGATCTTCACGCGACACCAAGAGGGCCACTGCTTAAAACACTCTGGAAGTCCTCATTTCTTGTGTGTGTGTGCGTATGTGTGTGTCTTGTCATGTTCGCTATACACAGCTCCACAAAAGAAAGCATGACTTTGCTAGACTGTTCCTCCGGACTTTTGCCGACTCATCAGGAGGTTGAACCCCTGCAGTCTGCCCAGGATGCATTTGACTGGTAAAAAAGGAATCACCACGTCGAACAGAGTTATCCATACCCTCGAGTGGTTGACTTTACCCACACCAACCCTGCACTCGCAGAAAATGTGAAGTGAGATGATTCTTGCCACAACTAACCTTCAACTCATTGTAAACTAGAGCAGTTAAGGCCTCTCGCTTGTGAACCCCATCCATCTTCTGCTCCATTTGCGCAATCAACTTCCGGATTGTTTTCTCATTCGAGCTCATTAGCTGCATCAGCTCAGAACGATACAACTCCTGGGGGTCGTTGCAGATGTAATACCATATTGTTCAGTAGCAACCATGCCAAACCGAACAGTGCCATATTGTATGACCAGATCCCATATCAGCAAGATCAGCAAACTAGAACACACACACACACACACACACACACACACACACACACACACACACACACACACACACACACACACACACACACACACCTCATTTCCTCAAAACAAGCTCAAGTCTCTCAATGCTTCCTTTTATCAAAGAATTGATCTTCAGATTAACCCTCAAGCTGGTCATCGTATCTGCCGTCAACTACCACTGTCGCTCGCAATATTGCCTATTCCTTCAAGCAGGTTCTCAGATCTTAACAACAATTTGCTCAGCCCACATGCCAAAAACCTGGACTAGTTTTTGAAAAGGAAAAAGAGGACGGATCACACACGAAGGTAAGATTCCTAAGAGGATCTATATGACTGATGCAGAGAGATGCATAAGAGGGACTGAAACAATGGAGACGATGCCTCAGAGATAAAAAGAGAACAAAATCAGAAGAGTACTGAAGGATGGTGCAAGGAACAAAATCAGAAGAGTACTGAGGGATGGTGCAAGGAAGGAGAGGTACCAAATGAAGAACGTTTAAGTCTCGGGTGTGGGGGATGAACCCAACTTC